CATTAGTCTTGTTTATCTCTTCTCCTCTCCTCTCCTCTCCTCACTTCTCCTCTCCTCTCCTCTCCTCTCCTCTCCTCTCCTCTCCTCTCCTCACTTCTCCTCTACTATCCTCTCCTAATTTTTTTAGGGTATAAAATAATCCCCTCATCTGCTTTTGTTTCACATATTTTCACAACAAGCCCTTGTAGGTTTCCTGCATACGACTGTCTGCCCCTGTCCTCATTTGCTTATTTGTATTCATGTCATCTGTTTTTGTAAAGAGACAAGTATGGAGCAAGTAAACTGATGCCACACACTGCAGCATAAGCTAATTTGGAATGCCCTTCCCTAGATGGATTATTAAAATACATACAACTCAACAGATACACAAAAAACAGTACCAAACAAACACAACAATAAAAAGAAAGGACAGTACAGGATACAAACTATTACACAATAAAACAAAGTAAAACAGGAAGAGCAACATTATACATGACCACAAGACGGAGTCCTCTTTAAAAACTGTTTCAAAATGTCTCCAGTCCAGTTTGAGCTCTGCAGGTACAGCAAAACCTTCCACGTGTTGATCCCTATGAACAGATGACGATCATCAGGTTCATCTATTCCCACCTCTGTGTATGTAGACCTTTTGCTCTTATTGTGTGTTTCTAGTTCACCTTGGGCTTTTATTGTAGGCATTCAAGCATGGTTTTTTTCCAGTTAATTGTTCATCGATTTATCCCCCTCCTGCATTTTTCTACTCAGTCTTTGTGTAGTTGTTTGCCACAGACGTCATCGAACTGAACTTGGCTTCTTATAACGATTTCAATCTCTAATGATGTATGTCTGGATTAAGCATTCAAGTATTTTGTTTTAAGTCGGCATCATTCTGAAAAGTTGAGACCCACCAACTTAAATAAATAGATTCAGAAATGTACTGAAATTCAAGACCAACATGAAAAAAAAAACGGCCTCGCGTGACTTCAAATAGAGGAACAGTAATTCAGTGAAAAATTCTTCATTATTAATTTCTGTTGAAATCTGAAACTGCAAATGTGGGTGGCAAGGTTAGATTTAGTTTGTTTGTATATTTAATTGTGAATTATATGGAGAGTTATGTAAAATAGTTTTACGATTTTGAGCGCATTTGCCTGTTGCATTACATGTAGCTCATAATTGTGGAAAAAGGTACTCAAACCCTGCATGGCAACCCACAGAGTAAAACTCTCGCACGTGCAAGAGAGATGGCTATGAGCTCCAATGATTTTAAACACCGTGTGGAATAGATTGAGACATATAAAGCGACATATGAACACATGAGCACACATCCTCCTAAAGGTCACTGCTGCCTGATGGTTCAGTTCAGCAGATCGACATCTAAATCTGGAGTCTTCTTGTCACCGTTACTTAAGACAGCTGCATTATCTCTGACGCTCCCTGGGGGGGCCAACTTTTATCTGCACATACGATAGAAGAGAAATATCTTATCGCCGGTCACATCTGAGTAAATCCAATCGGAGAACAGAGAAAAAAGAATTACACTGCAGTCTCTCTATGTTGTGGTTTTTTTTTTTTTTTTTTAAATCCATATACCTCACACTCGCTCTTCCAGTCTCCACATCAGATTTTAATGTTTTTCTTCGCGGCCTTACTTTCATTTCTTTGTCTCTTTGTCTCCTGGGAGCCTCGGTTCCCTCCCTCCCCTAAGTAACCTGCTCATCTCTCAGTCTGTCTGCAGCTGCCTCTGCAACAGTGCTGCGCTACGTCAAAGAATGCTAATAAGGTGGCGGCATATGGCTCATTCCTTATTTAAGCGGAGCCATCAGACAGACAGTAAGCCACTCAACTCACCGAGCGTCTTCTTTTTTTCCACCCTTACCTGCCCTGGTTGGATCACACCACGCTGATCTCTTAATGAGGCTCACACGTTATCACAATCAGCTCAACACACCAGGAAGGATCAGTCTCTGTGACATTATCGTTTCAATCTGCGCTGCTATGTAAATCCCTTTAAAGGACAAAATGCAAACACTTGTACATTACACTCAAAAGGGAGGGAAAGTGTGATCTAAAAGCCTGCTTGAACTCACAAGCTGTTTCTGTGTGGGTGCCAACATTAACTTGTACATTCGCACAAACACACGCACACACATAAGCATTTACCCGCTGACAGGCCGGTATGTAGCTCTATTCCATCATGCTGTGCTAAGCACTCTGTCACTCCGACAGTCCTGTTTTTATGTGATGATAGGAGGCTACGACCTTGCCTATCTCACACGGTTAGTAAACGATTTACACACACATACAAAATTCATTGTCATGCCAGTTTGTCAGTGCGCTATGCTGAAGTTTGATAGGTGCTCTACTTTACGTGTCGAGGGGGCAGAATCATTTCATTCAATGCTCAACTGGTATTTTGTTTAGTTTTATGTTAAAATACCAAAAAAAGGAGAATATATGAAAGCACTGAGCCAAAGTGGCCCCAAAATAGTATGTAAAAGTAGAGTAGTCTAGTTTTGGGAAGTCCAAAGTGGACATTTCCATCCATACGCATAGTGAAAATAATAATAAAAGCCTTATAGCACCAGTCAAAAGGGCACTTGTCGAGTCTATTTTCCTTTTTTCACAGCCAATGAGTGTGAGAAAACCTATTTACAGGCCTGAAAAATGATTTTTATTAAAATACACTTTTACACCTTGAAACATTTTCACACTTTCAAGAAACGAAGGCCTGAAATGCCCTACTCAGGAAGTTTTAAAATATCCATCAGAAGGCTGTCAACAAGACGACATCCCACCTACGAGCTAAAAGATGACAGCGTATTTGATTTGATAACCAATTTGAGCAGATTTAATTTTTCTCCCCCTTGAAGCATGTGGAACATTTCCCATGCTGCTTTGCATGCAATGAAAGAAAAAGAGATTAATTCTATGTTCTCATTTGCAAATCAAACTATGAATAGTTATGGACAGACTCCAAAATCAGCCACGAGACGCTTCATGTTCATGTGGATTCCTGCTGCTGAAATTTCAAACTGCTTGTGTTACGAGGGGCCTCAGTTCTCTATTAGGAACCGCTCTGCTTTCCCTGAGGACTGATACAGTACACTTCAGAACAAAGGGAAATAAATGTCTCTAACCAGTGAGATGCTGTGTGTGTGTGTGTGTGTGTGTGTGTGTGTGTGTGTGTGTGTGTGTGTGTGTGTGTGTGTGTATGTATGCGCAAAACGTCTAAACCACGCTTCCAAATATAACTTCAAACAGCTCAGTGTCAATGTTTGTTCACCTCGCTGTCTCTCATTCCCAAAAGACACAACACTTCCCGTATACAGTCTCGCTTAAACAACACTGTTTACTTTAGCAGGGCCAGACAACTGACAGATGTTTGATCAAGGAAGGAAGCACACGCTTAAAGAAACTCAAAGTGTCTCTTTCTCCCCCCTCTGCGCTACCTTTTTAGAAATTAAAACCCTCTCAAAATATAATCACAAAAAGCAAAGAATGTAAGATGTACAAAACCAGAACATAAACAGGTTAGACGTTCGCCATCTGTAATAGAGTTTTCTGTCGTCTTTTTGTTTTAGTTTGATGACAACTTTGTTTGCAGAGACTGGGTTTGAACACTTTGTATTGCTTTTATTGCACTGTCATCCAATCCATCGTCCTGTGAGATATATATTTGATTTACAGAAATAAAGTTGCTATCATTTGTCATACGACAGCTTAACCTTCACTTTGAATTTGTGCCCTTGATATTATAAGACCTATTTCATACTCTACGTTTCACACAAACAAAAGATTTCACTATGACTCATCGGAGGTGTTCTGGTTTTGTTGTGCGTATCACACTTATGTGTTCGTTTTTGTCTCTCTCCTCTTTGTTCTGTCTTTTGTCAACGCTACACCTGTTGGCGTTTTTGTTTTGGTTTTGAATAATTAATATTCCGTCTCCTAAATGAAAAACAAAGCAAAAAAAAAAAAAAAAAAAAGAAAAAGATGATGGACTGTCTTCAAAGAGGGCCACGTGAAACGTGTGCTTAAGATTTCCCTGGGCCCTCAGCGATGAAACTTTGATGAGCCCTGTTCGGATTGATACATGAGAATCCTGAGGCGGTACAACTGTAATCACAGCAGGTGGCCAGAAAAGCAGCACTGAACCTTGAGAGCGGAATCACTCGGATTGTGTGTGGAGGCGATGTTGCAGGTGTATTATTTGGTAAACATATTTGTAAAAGCAGTAACAACAAGAAAGCAACCTTTTGTTTTTAACCTCGTGAAAAGAGACTTTGTTTCATGGAAGATCGACCTCCAGCGATTAAAATAAGCCAACATTGTTAAGCTTGTTTTTGAATTTTTATCCTTAGGAACTGTACAACTCAAACTTTAAGGCTATTACACTCAATCAACAACAAAAAGAGATTCCACCATTGAAAATGTGTCAAAAAATTTGTTTTTTTTAGCGTTTTTTCTGGCTGATTTTGCACAAAAATGACACATGATTTTTTTTTTTTACATTTGAATTTTGATAAATGTATAAACAGAGAGTAATGGTTGTACCCTGGGTGGTAACACAAGTCCTAACATTGGTGTTTTGGCTCAATGTACGAAAGTTTCTTCCTCTATGTTGCCTCCATGATGTCTCTGAATAAAAAGAGAGCAGTCTTCAACAAACGTACAACCCAGTGACAAAAGAATTCAGAATCTGGGAGGGGATCAGAAGCTTTGGCCTTCTGTTGCAAGAGCTGTACTAATAGTTGTATTTTTCAGATCATTTTTAACACAACAATGTGGAAAACAATTTTCAGTGGTTATTTTTCAAGTCCTGCCTCTGCCTGCCCATTGTTACAGCGCACTCATACGATGTTATGAAAAGGGGCCCACCTGCAGGTTGCAAAAAGGTCAAACACTTTGTGTGTGTGTGCGTGTGTGTGTGTGTGTGTGTGTGTGTGTATGTGTGTGTGTGTGTGTGTGTGTGTTTGGAAATGTAACATGTCTGTATTTTTTTTTTTCCTCTGACTCACCGTCCAGCCTCCTCCGTCTGTCGTCATGTCGCAGTAGACCTGGAAGCCTGCGGGGTGGTGAACAGGAAACACGGAGTAGATGCCGTCCTCTCTCTGACCGCTGGCGTACAGATCGCCACAGTCACGTGGACGCGAGCCTGATGGGAGAGGAGAGAGCAGGTAGACAGGAAATACATTAGGGTCCAAAGTGGCTGGAAAAGGGAATCAATGCTTGGAACAGTAAAGTTAAATCAAGGAAAAAGAGAAGATGAGGATCACATGGCACGCTCTTATGTAAACGCGGAGGTGCAGTTATGATTAATGCTCATGTGAAGGGCTAAGCATACTCAAGTTTCTTTACATTTCTCCAAAAGCATGGCTCTTAAAAGAACAATAAAGAGGTAAGAAACGGCTCTTTTAAGGCCAAAGACACGAAAGAGATTGATGATGAGACAAATGGGCGGTGATCGATGACGCAGTGGGACTACTGAGTCTAAGTGTGGCGGAGATAAGAACCAGAATAAAAAACAGGCTTCAACGCAAGTAGGTCGAAATGAAGACAAAAAGGCACACGGGTGGAGCGCCGGCGTGATGCCACAGAAGAAGAAACAGATGTATAGTGCAGAGGCTCAGATTTGCGATAACAAAGTTGTAGGGAGCAGGAGGAAACCAAAGACGTATGTAAGTCAGGGAGAAAGAGGAGGCTAAGATGGAGCTTGTAAGCCACAGCCGAGCAGAACAGAAGCTGCCTTGTCCGCGTGCCTCTGAAGCCCGGTGTTACACGAGAGGATGCATAATCATTTCCCCAGGAAGCAGGAGAGGAACTCTATGACGAGGACAATGTCATAGATTATGCATACGAACCCTTCAACGGGTCAAACTGCTCAAATTTAAAAAAGGTCAGGAGAGTTCTTGGAAAAGGCGTTTCAAAAACATTCACAGTCCCTACACGATAAAGAATGTTTGATCTCCCCAAAAGCTTGTCTGGGTTCTCAGTGTAAGCCTCGACTGCTAAGCTCCGACTTTCATCATCATCACACATAAATGGTAGCATTTCTCACTTCTTCTTCTTTTCATTAGAGGAAAACGGAAGATGTCTCGGTTCCACGGGACATTAAAAAGGAGACGATCGTCACTATTCTGGAACACGTAACGCAATAACAAGGGCCTTCAAAGTTTTTCAGCTTAATGATCCCTTACAGCAGACAAATGTTTCACCCGCTTTTGTTATCAGACCATTATCAGCTCTCACCGCGATATGAATACTTTTGCCCGAGCCAAATGTACATATTGGTAGGCAAGAAGCTGCTGAAGGGCCTGTGTCCATTAGGGCATTAAGTGTGTCTCACTAGCGCTTACTGTTTCTAGGTTACGAAAGTCAACTTCTGCCTTTTCTTGCTAGTGTCTGTTAGGTCTGTTTTTAAATTAGCTCCATGTGCTAAATGTTTTCCTTTATTTGGGGTAGTATCACCAGGAGAACATAAAAGAAAAAAATAGGAATCCTGTCCTGGCATTGGCAGCAGCTTTAAGCCTTGAATTGTACACTCTTAAAGAGGAGTCTGATATGTTTGTCGTTGTTGTTGACAAAGCTGATATCATATAAGTGTATGGTGAGGGTGAACGGATATTGACTGGTGTGGCGGTGTTCCAAAAGTGAACCTATTTCAACTGAGAGCGCTTTGAGCCCCTTTTTAGATCAAGTAAAACGGTGATAAAGTCATGAGTTCAGACACTTTGTAAAGGCCTTTCCTCATGGCAACACGCTGTCAATGGACACAAGCCCTAATCGTTCATTCATCATCAGCATCATCATCATTACACACACAATGATGTTGGCAGCCATAGGTAGTGTGTTGCCAGCAATGAGTCATTACTGTAACACAAAAATGACTGATGGAAACGGTTGGCTTTGGTTGTTTACATTGACACTTCTTGTTTTGTGTTTTTAAAAGATTATGTTATTGGTTCAGGTTATAATCTCAAAGACTTTTTTTCGGTTAAGGAAATGTTTCTTTTGAGTATTCTATGGTGTTAAAAAACTGGTTATGAATCTTCAATCACCAGCGGTATAGAGTGACTTCTATTAGCTCAGAGCCATGCGCGTCACCAACACGCCTCTACCTGTGATTACCACCTCATTTTTCAACTGTTCTAAAACAGAAGATCAAAGATGGTGATTTACTACAACAGAGGGTCCAGGGCAGATATCAGTGCTGACAAATCAAGTATTTCATACAGTAAACAATATTTCAGAACTACAAGCTGTAATTGTTGTAACCTACTGTGTCAAAAAAAAAAGTTACCTGCCACAGCTGAAACCATTTCTTATTTACTTCTTGGATTAGCTTGTTGTCATTTTCCACTCTTTAATTCTTCCTGTAATTACAGCCTGCAGTTCCCTTCCTGCTCTGCTGTAGGTATTAGTTCTCAGATTCTGTGATCCAGCCAGGTTCTCACGCTTATCCGTGTGTATCTGTTCCCAATCCCCTAATCAGCTCTCCAACATATATACCGGCCACTTCAACTCAATTCCCTGCCAGATTGTTGCTTGCCTGTTTGCCAGATTGCCGTGCAGCCTGCCTCATCACCTGTTTCTAGCTGTCTGACCACTGGAAACTCTTTGCCCTCATTTACATCTGATATAAACACCTCAGGTTGTACCAGGACACATTATATAATTATGTTGTGTGAAAACTGACATCCAATCAAAATTTACACCAATTTACAATTTATAATCTCAATTCATCTCATAAAACTCCAACTGAGATAAACAGTGCTGGTTTAAATCCCTTTTTGTGAGCGAATGCTGCTTGCTTGCTGTCTGTGACTGTTGTAATATGTATTTATTTTATTGGCTGTGTTTGTTGTGTCCGTGCTGTCTTCCTGTATGTAAACAGGTGTGACAGCCCCAGCAGCCAACTGGCCTATCAATTTCCAGCTCCCGCCAATGATAGGCTAGATAGAGGTCTTCCCCACTATTAAAAGCAGGGTGATGACATCACTGCGGCGCAAGGGGAACCCCTTCTTCATCACTTTCCATCCAGCCCCCTTCTTTTGTTCATTTACTGTTCTTAGTTTGTTTTGTGTTAGATGTGGTAGGGGTGAATCGCAAGTTACTTTAGCTTTTTTTTTTTCCTCATGATTGGTTAGTCAGAGAGGTAAGTTGGTTGTCTTTTGTTTTCCTTGATTAATCAGGTTTGATTGGTTGGTATCAGATAAACTCCGTTATGTTTGGGTGTTCTTAGTTATTCATATTTTTTTACTAATATGGCCCTGTACATTTTTTCCGTCCCCTAAAATAAATAATGTTCTAGTTAAAACTATTCTCCGTCACTGCTTGGGAAGTGAGGGATTTGGGCCTTTATGCGTGTTGTGTCTTGGTCTCCCCTGGACGGAGCGTAACAGTTACTTTTACTTTTAAGGGCCTTGCTAAAGCTCTAAAGTAGAGGTGGAGCTATGTGGCCCTTCGGGATTTGATGAGTTGTAACAAATTGAATCTAACACAATTATAAGGATAGATTTGATGACATATTATATTACTATTAATGTAAAAATGTAAACAAAAAAAACAAGTGACCAAAGCCAACAACATAAGCACGTCTCTAAACACTTTCCTTCAATTCTGACCTGTCTGGTTTCTATGAAAATTAATTTTACATAAAAGTTAAATAACTCTGTGATTGACTGGCGACCAGTCCAGTGTTTGACGCCACCTCTCGCTCAATGACAGGATCGGCTCCAGTGACCCCTAACGGGAAAAAGGGGTATATATGATGGATGTATCGATGGATGAATAAAAGCTAATTAACTTTATTAAACTGGCAGGCACCAAAATTTAACTGGAAAACATGGCTCCAAAAGGGATACATTTAACTATTTATTGGAAGGAGATTTAGTGCAATATTGAGCATTCATGGCAGCAGGGTGGGATTTACTCAAGAAATTGTTAGTTTCTATGGTGATCAAAGAATTTAAGCCCACTGAAATGATTCGTCATTTTCTGATTAACTTTGGGCTTAAACTGTGTTTTTCGACAATTTAGGTCTACGGCATTAGTTTGACAAAAATTGTTCATAGGCTCATTCATTATTGTTTTTTTTTTTTACTTAAATTGGATGTTTGTTGACAAATACAGAAACATATCTTAACATAGTCCATAGTTTCTTATCTATGGTTTGGTTCCATGTGTTCACAAGCTGGAGCGTGTGCTGTCTGTGTGACGAGACCTTTGGAGGAGTTTATCTGTTCACAATCTCATATGGTTGGCATTATGTCGCATAAACCCCTCTAGTCTCTAGAGTAAGTCACTCTGACATCACAGGCTCTGCACAGCAGGAGGTGAGCTCATTGAAATGCACCATGTTCTCCCATCTCCACCTAACACAGTGTTCAGGTAATGGTAAAAAAAACCCCACTTTTGTCTATTTTTAACCATGCACATGTCCTGTATGAAATTTTACTTTTGTATATTCACTTTTTGCTCTTTTACTTTAAAATGCTATGTTCATAGAACGGAATAATCAATGTGGCAGAAGACAAAATAATGCTAAAGAAATCCATAAAATGTCTCATAAATAATTGCTGTTGCACAAAGACAGGCGGTCCAAGAACTGGAAGAAGTAAGACTTTCTCTGCAGCAGTTCCATTTGACTAAGACACTGTGCTACTCTCAGCACTGAGAAGGGCTCCACTGCAGTCAGGTTCCTCTTCATATAACTTTGAAAATCTAATATGTTCTTATGGGAATCCAGTGCAAACAGTATAGAGATGAGCACTTCAAATATTCACAGGCACAGTGGGATAGACAGGCAGTCAAAGAGATTCATGATTTTGCCCCATACCTAAACATACATACACCCAGACAAAGGCATGAAATATTGAGAATGTGCTGTTGTAAATACTGTATGTGCACACAGTTATTTATTTAGCTATTGTATTATATAAGACAGTCAATAAATATACCCTCTTCTTAATTGTAACATTGAAAAAAACATCTTTACATTAAATTGTTAACAGCAAGGATTGTAATTTCAGTACACGGATAGGAAAAAGTTAATTGACCCCACAAAAGAAAGCAATAATTAAACAAAACACTGATATAAATCATAATAAACCAACATTGGCATGTAGAGAAGATATCATTCGGGATGAGAACTGATGTTTATGGTTGTTTTTCTTCAGTTTTCTAGTGCAGTGTAGATTTCTTTGATAAAATGTCAAGGCTGTGCTCCACAAAAACACTGAGATGCCGCCGGCTGCTTTGTTGTAGTGCAGTTGGTCTTGACTGTAGTTCAGAGAAGCAGATCGAGTAAGAAAACCTGCACTGAACTACATTTCTAGAAGGAAGTGTCGAGTTTATACATATGGTATTGATGTGAAGAGAACTATAAGCTAAACTTGAACTTTGCTGTTTTTATGTATATTTTAAAGCCTCACTGTATATTTTGACTTATTTGACGTGTTATTACCTTTAAAGACATAAACTATGTTTCAGAATGCTTTCAAAATCGCCTGCTTATCAAATCTAGAGGGAGAGAGCATGTGAAGCGCTGTCCATGGTGCTGAAACCTGGTGCTGATCGGCTTGAATGTTGTCAACCTTTACTTCTGACATTTATGTAGCTGGTGGATATCTTTGTTTAAAACAGGTCAATGTGAAACATTTTTTGTATATATATACATCAAACAATGTGAGCTCAAGTGGCATCAACAATCCACATATATATATGGATATAAGGGTTATTTTAAATCCAAAATTTCAGTTATGGACTGATAGGGAACCTATTTCTTTGTACCAATTTTTAATGGATACCTCCTGGCTATATATGTGAAAGGGAAGGATACAAATTGGCCACAACGGCTATTTTTAAAATGAATATCTCTTGCATTTAGAGAGAGCACAGGACAGTTTAAAGTGTTAGATGTCAGTTAAGGCATTTTAACAGTAAGGGTTGCTGCTGTGTAAAGAATTTTGAGAGAATATTATTTTTTTAAAAGCCCTGAATGCTTGACACATTCAGCATCATGGAAATGTTTAACATGAAACTGTTAAAAATCACCTGGTTGTTGGTGCAGCAGGGCAAGGTTAATGATTGGGGACATCTCAGACTAAATGTTTCTGTTACGGAGTCTGGACCAGAGGTTTTATATTCTGCACTGGTGTGAATGATTTTATGTTTAAGGGGAGATTTTCAAAGATGTTACATTTACCCCTAAATTCCACCAGATGTGTGTTCAGCCTGACTCCACTCCATTACAGTACCAGAGCTGATAGGAGAGGGTTACCCGGAGCCATAACTAGCAGACAAGCAATGCACATGCATCTGTTGGAAGTTCTGGGTATAGGCATCGCCTGTTTAATACTACACACAGATGATGGAAAACAAAAATCTTAAAACATTTTTCCCCCTTTTCGGCTGACAAGTTGTTCTTTTCAACATGAACATATTTTCACAAACCAGAGCTAGTAACCTTTTCGTTAGGTCCTAATGCTAATGCTTTTCTTGGTTAGAAGCTTGACAGATTTGATGAATTTGGTTTTAAGAAGTTTCTTTCTGTATGCTGTCTTTCCTTGCACAGAAAAAACATAAATCCATAAAAATAAAAATAAACTTTAAAAAAAAGAAGAAAAAAAAAAGAAAAAGATTTTTCAATATCAAGTAGAAAAGAAAATTCAAGCTTTTGGTACGTAGTCTTTCCCACAGTCCAGTGAGCAATCGCTAATGAAAAGGTCTGCATGTTTCTGTAACCCCACATCCCCCAAAGGACCAAACTGTTTTTTTATCTTAATAATTTATGTGCATTTTTATTTAGTTTCAAACCTTAAGAGTGAAACTCCTGGGGTATTTTTTTTTTCTAAGTTTATTAGTTTTAGTAAACACATAAAACTTCTTTCCCCTCTAAAGTCACTGCAAACAGAAAAATAATGAGCTGTAATCCGTGACAGACAGCCGACTGAACCGGACACCTGTTTCCAAGAGGATCTGTATGAAATAATGAGACCAGGAGCAGCCTTTTTACACAGCGCTCCATTTGCAACAACAGGACTGATGAAGTCATTATTCAAACTTTGTTCTGAACGCTGACTTCATGTTGTACAGGAAACAAGGAGAGAATACATAGAGGCTCACATAATTATGCCTTATTATGGACACTTTTCTAGTCATGTTTTCCCCTAATAAATATAATAAACCAAGCATATCTACAAAAATAATTATATGAAAAACAATAGCCTTGCAATTTAAAATCTATAGTCTCTGTAGAGCTTTCAGAAGACTGATGTTACTTTACATTTAATTGCATCATATTGTGAGCTATTTTTGTAATTGTGTTTTCCCCATGTAATGTGCATAAAGGTGGGGATAGTGTGAAGCTATTTTCTTAGCAATGGGAAACAATATTGCTCGAGTCTTTGTCGCTGCTTTCATTAATAAACAGCCAGGAGGAAACAAATTAAAATCAAGCCTGAAGAAATTACCCCACAGATGGTAAAGTAGTACCCACTGTGAGATAACAAGTCAGATCTGAGGGATACATGTTCTATCTCTTCATTGTTGATTTATTGTCACTCAGAATCCTGGTGTGTTTCAAGTGCATGTTTACGGATTGTCGCAGAATCACGTGATTGAGGAAAGAGGATTCTGGAAGGAGCAAAAATGTGCTGAAAAGATTACAGATCTGAAAGTGAATAATTTCAGCACCACGGACAGAGCTTCAGCAAGTTTGTTTTTGCTCAAATTTTACAACATACCTCCATGTAAAGTCTTCAATAACCTATTTTATGATTTAATTTGAACTGTATTAGACACATTTGTTAAAAAATATATTTATCGCTAACTGAAAATATTGACAATATAGTAACTATTGCCTTAAAGATTTGGTTGTTAACATCTTACAGGTCTTGAAATGACTTGTCAACTTAATGCACTTCTGTATACAGTACACTGAGCTTGAATAGCACTTTTCTAGTCTTCTGACTACTCAAAGCGCTTTTACACCACAGGTCACACCTTCACATTCACACACTGATGGCAGGGCTGTATAGTGACCATCAGAAGTAACCAATCCCATTCATACACATGTACATTCAGTCGACAAAGCAGCAGGAGCAATTTGTGGTTAAGTGTCTTGCCCATGGACACAGCAGAGGCTGCACATGTGACTGCAGGAGCTGGGGATTGAACCCCCAACCTTCCGATTGAGTGACGACCAACTCTACCAACTGAGACACGGCCACCCATGATCAGTTCAAAAAGGAGAAAATAATGAATTTTAGTGATTAAAAAAAACACTTTTGAATGATTGTCAGCTTTGTGTAACTGTACATCAGCATAATAGAACAAATACTATAGCATACATTTTGAGCACTGGAAACATCAAGTAGTTGTTGTCAAATGCAAACATGTGATGTCACACTCCTGAAAGCCGACTTCAAAATCTTTACACCTTGAATTACTCCATTAAGGTCAGTGGAATATTGTAGTCCATTATTCAAAGTAGCATCAGTTGCAGGGTGAAATTTTAGGACACAGAAATTTCAAAAATAGGTCACAAATAAAGCACCCATCACATCATGTAAACAACTGTAGATAGGGTTAGGGTTTCTTTTGGCAAAAGTTAAGCAAAAACTGAGAAAATGTTATTCCTCTGCTTCTGTTTTACACTCCTGGAAGAGTGCTCTTGCCTCATGTTTGCAGATTCATGAAACCTCCACCACACTCTAGTCTCTAGTCAAGTCATGCTGTTCACACAAACTCCAAACCCTCTCTAACTCCGTTATTATATGCTGTGTGTTATACATGAGCGGCCTTCACTTCGCGCTCCTTGGCTACCTATGCGAATCGTAATCCAACAGGGGAATGCTACTGGTTACAGTGGGCCTGGTTAAAAGCCTTCCATTGAGACAAGGCCTCAGGCCATTTTCTGCCTCCCAGCAACAGTCATTCCTCATATTTTGTAAAAAAAAAATTCCACATCTCCACCAAGGCCACTGGATAATGTGGATGAGATGTAGCCCAGGGAAACATACTGATATCAGTGGGCGGGGATGTGTAGCATGAATATGTGGTGAGATGGATGACAGCAGACTACATTGGAATATCATTTTACACACTAATGGAGTCAGGCTAACAGAGTGAAGGATTGTGACACAGAGAAGGTCAAATATACGCGTAGGTAGCCACTGATATATGAATGAATTATACAGAGACAGATTGACATCTTCAGACAAACAGATCTGCAAAGAATCTAGTCTCATCAGATAGGGAAAGACGGAGGTCACGCCTCTTTTTTTCTTACCGTTGGAGCAGCCCTTGAGACGAGCCCCTCTCACCGGTGCCCTCTGCAGGTCGGCCTTGACCCGCGCCTTCAAGCCCACATTCTCCTTCTGCATGGCATTCAAAGCATCACTCACGGAGTTCACTACCTTCACCATGTTGATCTGGCTGTCGGAAAGCAGCTACAAAACACACACAGCAGGGGAGAAAATTGCACAAATTTAGACGATGCAAATTAACCAACACTTGCTGAAGCATAACTGCCAAGAGATTTAACAGCTGCCCACATAGGCGCTAGTTTCCTTTTATTACTTTGCATAACTTAAATGACCTATTAGTAGTGTCAGGCGATTCTAAGTTTGAAATCGTCAGACTTTTAGTGCGTCTATTACCCTGATTTTCTGTTTAAGGCTGGTATTTGTGGCTTTGCAGTCATTTAATGACTGTAACTTACTTTTTTTTAAGCTGCACTGTTAGCATATTTTAACATTTTCCTAAGTATTAAGGCACACTTGGAACAATATATGGACAAATCAATACATGAAAAAAACAACATTAGATTGATTAAATTAAACCCACAAAGAACAAATCATGCAACATTTGTGATACAACTTTAGGATGAATATGAAAGTATTTGATTTTCCAAGTTCAGAAACATATAAAAAAAAAACATATTTGTCCACATTTGTGTTATAAATATTATCACACAAATCAAGTACGTCTCTATGCAGTAGTTTGAGTCTAAGTAGTGTGAGTCCACAATTCCTGCTTTGAATTGGTTCACAGAAAGAAAAGCATGTATACAGAGGACAAAAAAATGCAATGCAAGAGCTCATCTCTGATACATGCCAACGATTCAAATGCAGAATCAAATCTCAAGTACATGTCAAGTAACATTTTCCCTTTTTGTTATTGTTCCCACGATTATAAAGATAAGTAGCCTACCAGACTTGGATTTTCTGTCCTATATTCATGTCATGGTTTCTTCATGATTTTTGTCACAGTGTCTTTACATAAGTATAGTAATGCACCAGCTATAAGGGTTATAGTCTACCCTTAAAAGTGTTCAAGGATGATCCACTCTTTGACATTTTTTAGTATGATATGTAATCATAATAACTTTCTACATGACCTCATCCACTTCATCTTTTCACGACGTCCATTTTTTGCATAATGAATGTCTGAATGAATTCCAAGTTTTACAGTTTGTGGTTACAGTGCTAGTCAGCGGCCAACTCAGACGTCGGAGCATCCTTGAACACTCCACAAAGTTTTCACAGAATTCTAAATAACACGACTCCAAAAAATAGTTGAAGAAAATCAGTCTAATTTGATTCTATGGTATTCTATAGTATTCTATTCTATAATATGTAGGATTATTGGCTACAACTTAACTAGCTCTGGTAAAGCTGAGTCCTTTCGGGATCCTTGGAAGAACACAGGGGCAAAGACCACTCTATGTAGCAAAGGCACCACATGGTTCCCTATCCCATAATGCACCCTGGTAAGGGCTGTGAAACACAAGAAGCCCAGTGGGAAAGCTGGTGATGAATGTGAGCGCCTGGACTGGCAGAGAGCAGGGTAACCTCTCTGATCTGCTGTGGTCACTCTCTTTCTCGCAGCCCCTGTTCATTGCAGAGGTTATTTTCCCATAATGCTCTTTGGATGGCCTACACCTATGCACAGCCAGGTGTTGGGTCCGCATATGTTTACACACACTGCACGTTTGCAGGGATGACGAATATTCCAGCTCACACAACCTCTCTCATCCCGGTTCTTTCATCTTCCTCGACAGACAGACACACACACACATGCACACGCACACACAGATACACACACATATATACGCACACACACTATAACCCACCGTGCTCAAAGTCATACCAGGTTCGGAGTCTTCTATCAAAGGTAGCTCTGCAGCTATATTCAGGTGGTGAAACTGCATTAGACAGAAGCCCTGGTGGCCATATCCTGGCCTCAATAAGTATGCAACACACCTCTGGGGCACAGCAAGCTGCACTGCAATCATATTACACAGGCACTGGGGCTTTAACCCACACACATGGACATAAACAACACATTTACACACAAGGCCACATTCAAGAACAAAGAAAAATCACATGCACACCCATGCATGGAAAACTGGAAACCGGATTTGTGAGGGTGTTATTCAAAACACTATTTTTTAATTTATTTAATTAATTAATGTAACTTGATTCTTTGTGTGCAAATTTGACACGACTTTCAGAGTTGTAATTTCATTGAGGGGCAGGCTGTTTGTTTGTTTGTATGTGTGTCTGTGTGTGTGTGCTTAATGGGAAAGACAAAGGCAGAGGAGTGTCTACAGTCTTAATTTTGAGCCTTGACTGACACACTAATTAGGATCATGATGTAATTAGCTCTCATTAGACAGCCTCTCTATTGGCTCACCGAATCAGTCACACCACAGCACTTAACACAAAGAGACTGGTTCTGCGCGTGGAGCTTTAACCACAAACTAATCTGGGTGTTCTCCTTCGGCAGACTCATTAAAGAGATTTGATAAACACTTTTGAAAAGATGTTCCATCTATTTAAAGTTTTGTTGTTGTGACTGTGGTTTAACTTCAGCTTGGTGATGACTGATGTAATAAAAAAAAAAAAAAATTGGACAAAACAAATCAGAAACAACCAAGCCCCCCCCTAAGTGAACAGATGGGACATGGCGTTGCATTGCTGTTGAAATCAACTTGACTGCAGAGTGCTGCTTGTCCTAAACTGACACGAGAGTGGTACCTTGTTCTTCAGACTTTGCAGATGATGGCCGCTGACTTTGCTGGCTAACTTGAGGTGTTGAAACTGAGAGTGTGTTTTTGATTGAAACCACAACAAATGTGTGATTTTGTTTGGCCTTGATAAGATGTTCCATAAGGTAAAGACATATTCCCTGCGTGGTAAAGAGTCACAAGTCAGAGCAAAGAAAAGTTGCTAGACTGGAACTAGAATGTAAAAGAAAAAAAAATTGAAGCCATTTGCTTCTGCCATCTGCTTAATGCGACATCTTCCCCTCACAGACGGCGGCTGTCCAGCCAAGTGGAGCCCAAAGGAAGGAGAAGAGAGAAGAGAGAAGTGAGAAGAGCAACCAAAAGGCCTCCCTGTGTCGTGTTTTTTTTTTTTTTTTCTTGACCAGTGTCACCCTTTACAAGATGAAAGTAATTCAAACCCTGAAGCACATTTGTACTTTTCCAGAACTTCGCTTGAAAACTCAAAGTAAGCAGTTGGTTTGAAATGTAAGGAGGAAAAACTTCAAACATTACCTAACTTTGCTGGAACAGAAGTAATCAGTAAAAAGAGGTCTTGTAAACATGCTAAATGTTATTTGTCTCACTTCAGAATTAGCTTTAACTTCACTGTAAAAGTTGTAGAAAAGGATGTGGCTGGAAGGCTTTTTATAAACATTTGATCAATTTGTCCATCACTAGAAAATTCAATCTGTCTTGTAAATGGAAATTTAGTATCCTGAGGGTTTTGTTATCGGACAAGACAATGAAATACGTCATTAATGCTCTGGAAATAGTGATCTGGTATAGATTACCAGATTTGGTATTTCATGGACTAACTATCCATCCATCTATTGTCTATAAAGCTTTTCAGGGTTCACGGGGGGGCTGGAGCCGATCCCAGCTGTCATTGGGCGACAGGTGGGGTACACCCTGAACTGTTTGCCAGTCAATCACAGGGCTGACAGACAAACAAACAGCCACACTCACATTCACACCTGTGTGAAATTAAGATTGACCTAACGAACATGTTTTTGGACTGAAGGAGGAAGCCGGAGAAGAACCCGGAGAGATACCTCCACCCCACAGGGAGAACATGCAAACTCCACACAGAGAGGCCCTGTCCCTAAGGGATTCTGACCAGGAACCTCCGCGCTGTGAGGCATCATCACTAACAACTGCGCCACTGTTCTGCACAGATTAAATAAATAATCAATGCTTTGAAATAATTACAAGCTCATGAAAATATTTAAACTTGCTATGCCCGACATTGAACAAGTGCAATAAAGAGAGAAATAAATTGTGCCAGATGCTTGGTTAGAAAAAAAAAAATCATGATGTTAATATCAGCATAAGATGTCCACAGGGTATAGTCGACCTGACTGTTAACCTCAGCTTTTGTTTCTGTGTTGTTCTGTGCCAGCCGTGTAGCTCCCAGCCACCTCTCTGCTCCATGTTCCCACATCCTGCGTTTTAGAGAACTCCTCAGCATTCTTTCATGTTTTGACAGCTGTGATGCAGATGCACATCTTCATCTGACTCCACCACCCTCTCTTTCTCCCCCTCGGGAGCATCTGGGGGGAGGAGGAGGGTGTGTGTGTGTGGGGGGGGGTGGGGTAATTGTTTTCCCTGTGTTTGGTTTTCTGATGCTTTTAAGCTGCAGCAGAATGACACTTTTTATATTAGAAAAATGCAGATTTGGCATCCAGAAAGTAAACTTCTAATCTGGATCAACGGCACTTAGAATGTGCATACTCTCCATTCACAAACTTAAGATCCCCTAGCATAAAAAGATACTAAGATGAACTTTAACTGACAATCAATAAACACTTGACCTAATTTACTGTACAAAAACTTCCATATAAATGATCCCTTAACCTTCTGTATCCTTCGGATTAAACAGCCGGATATAATATGTACAAGAGGCATCTGAAGCAGAAAAACACTGAATAAAAGATGATGGACAGAATGTTTTCAGAGCAACCCTGGCTCATATCATACACAGAGTCTCGGATCCTCAATCGGGATTTTCATTTTGTCCATGTGTGGTTTCCTGCAACCGGCTAATGCAGCTGTGCAATTAAATCATGACTAATGGAATTTAGCAGCGAGATGGCCCTTTAATGTTTGTGTGCTGTTAATGGCCATATGTCAGCTGTCCTCATACTTGATTCCGATTTGCTGTCAAACTTTTTACATATTTTGTTTTGCGATACATTATACATCATATATTTCCACCATGTATTTTGCAGTGACTCATTAGCAATCTTTAAAAAGTAAATTGTTCATGTTGTACGCAAAAAGTCCTCTTCAATGTCTTCTGTAATTAGCAGATAACAGACTAAGTCTATTTATAAGTTTGTATCCCCTTTATATGTGGTATTCACTATATTTGCATTTGCATTGTTCTTCAGCGTCCTATTATCAGTTGTTTGAAGCCTCCAAAACACTGATATTCTTTATTCCTTTGAATTGCTGTACCTTTGAAGATATACGCATTTCCTTAATTGAATTAGTTTTCCATATTTAATGTGACTTTTATCATTATTCTTTCACTCGGAGGTTTTGAAGTTATTTGTATCGCACCCAGGGCTCAATTGCTGCAACAAGCATTCTGCAAATTTTTCTTTTTCAAGTCCTCAAAGGACTGTGTCGACCACAGCGAACATCTTGAGGCAATACTGCTCCATACTCCAGAAAAGCCAAGGTTTTTGTAGATCCTTAGCAGAGGTTGTGGGTGTCACTTGTCCAATTCCTTAATATTCTGCTGGCACATCCTTGGGTTTAAACTGTGACCTGCAGTTCATGGAAATCAGTGAGTCATGCTCTTCCTCGCAGCCTTTACCTCCTTGTACTCTTTTTGCATTCAGACATTGTGGGAAACTGAATGTCAAGTTGGATAATTATGTACACTACATTTTATCTCAGATGGACTGATGCTATGGAAAATCTCATCTTTCCACTGGTTTATCGATGCTGAAGGGCTGCATGAGATCAGGTCTTAACACCTCCACGCTCACCCCAGCTGGTGGGCATAAGACATGGTTGCCTACATTGCCTCTGTACACCGCTGTCACTGCTGGCCGGTTAAACATTTGTTTAACAACTTTTAATGTTATTCATATCACTGACAGCAGTTTGCACTTGTTACTTTAAGAAAGATAAGTGGAAAGAGCTAACTAAGAGCCACTGACAAGACTGTAATGAGAGCACTTCACAAGATTTGAGGGTAAAACCAAGAGTCCAGTTAAAATGTTAAGCTGCTTTTGATATTGGGTGAGGATTTTGCTTAAATTTTGAATTACAACATTTGTTGTCCTCCTGGATCTGATCTAATCAATCTGATCTTGGAACTGTAGACCTATGACTACTTGATAAGTTTGCAGAAATATGTGGTTTACAATAATTATGAACCATAACTACTAGATGTGATTCTAATGATGTAAAGGTTTTGGGAGTCCCCCAGGGTTCTAATCTTGGACCACTGAAATTCTTGGGAAACTGGAGGAAGAAAAATGCCCACTATATAGGACATATCCATCCCTCCATGAGCCACTTTAACCACTTATCTTGTTTGGTGTCACAGGGGGCTGGGCACCCTGGAGGTGCTGTATCATTTACAGGGACATACAGAGTCAAACAACCATTTACACTCACATTAACGGACAATTTAGAGTCCTAACAAGCATATCTTTGGACCCACGGGAACCCCACTGACAACATGCAAACATCACACAGAAGGAACCCTGTCCTGCCATAGATCCAAACAGGAATCCTCTTGCTGTGAGACAACAGTGCTATTCAGAGAATTACCATGCAGCCACCATAGAAAAAAATATTTAGGAAAATATTAAGCACTTTAACCACTTTAATACAAGAACACCAAAGTCACTTGAAATGTGGCAGAACACAAGACAACAAAAATGTTAAACTTGCACTTTAGGGAGCTAATGTAAACTAAAACAACATGCTCCCATATTTACAGATGAATGTTTTAAATTTTGTGTTGTGTACTGAAAAAAATGATAAGATGGACTGACAGAAAACCAAATGTGACTGCTTGATCAGTACGGCTATGTTTTGGGGTTCTAATCAAGGAAAGAAATTGGAAATAAAAGTAATACTGCTTGTTCAAGGGAGTTCTGACTTAGAGCAAGCACTTACCAACAGTTAAATGTATTGTTATATTTCTATATTATACTGGCCTTTTCATCAATGTGATCTATTTGTACACGAATGTGTTCAATTTGGTGTACCTTTCTATTTGGAGTTGAGAGCAGAAACTGTGAAAAATGAAAATGTCACTTTGAGAAAAATCAAAACACAGTGGTCCTAAACCTACTGAAATCAGGTTTCCCTGCTTATCTCCTCAGGGGCATTTGAAGGGTTTCTCTTTATATAGAAGGTTGAAACTGTTCTTCAGGGGGGCTGCGGTGCACACTGAGCCATTACTAACACTGGCACAGTCAGCTCTGTGTCATCGAATAAATCAGAAGTCCTGGCCACAGGTGGCCAATAGATCACACAGTCACACCATGGTGTCACGCAGAAACAGCGGATGTGCAGACAGCATGCCCTGCCTTCAAAGAGGAAATCAATCAACTGGAGTGTCTGGAGTGCCAGTACCCGCTCCACTTAGCCTCAGTGCCCACTGCACTGTGCCACCTATACACCACAATAACAGCAGTAAAGGAACCGGCCTCCTTCACGCCTCCAATGTGCCACCAATCAGCACCCACTGTTTCTTAGCTGGCGGAGGCAGAGTAGGCCAATCCGGTGAGTGATTTCTAAACAATTTTGAACCTGGGCTAAAGAGGTCTGTCTTCGAGAAAGGATTGGCAGAAACAGAAAGCATTCAGTTGTTGGATCTATGTGGCTGGCAGCTATGAAATCTATTTACTACAGAACAGAGAGGCTGAGCCTGATGGGCTTAAATTAAAAGAGCATGTAGTGTGAAGAATTTCTATGCACATTTAGGAAATGCATTGTCAATAAATCAATGTGGACAGTGAATACCAAAGCGAGTCTAATTCTTTTTTCATCCAATGGTATGTCTGTCTTACAAATCCAGGGAAAAATTATGTTATCTTTCTGATTTAATGTGCAAGTTGTTCTGTTTTTAGAATCATGATGGGCATTTCTTCCCCTGTGACCTCATCTTCAAATGCCACAGACTCGGCGGAACATGAGCCGTAGTTGTGCTGTTATCAAGCCATTACAGGGCTTGTAGAGTGTTAAGAGAAATTCATATGGTCCAATTGGCTTTGGATTAGTGAATGATGGTGTTTTGATTGTGCAGTCGGGGAAAGTAAGTGACTGAATAAGAACAACTGACAGTAAACCCTTAGGTATAATGAGCTGTCGTGCGTCACAGTCAATAGGTATTGATAGGTGTTTCACAATCAAGTCCTCGAGCGCTGATGTACAGTACTTACAGTCATGACTTTGTACTGGATTCAGTTCTTCTGCTGTGACTACTCAACCAATCATAGTCATGATGTATCATTAAAAACACACACAAAAAAACTGCTTCATTGCCTTACTTAAAAGATACATTGTAATGAAAAACACATTTTCTATTTTTCAAGACACAGTTTGATATGACATTCAACTGAGAATCATTCATGAAGATTATGGGTGCTATAACTACTTCAAAATCAGTCCATTTAACATAATAAATGTTAAATGATACCAAAAGAAATACCAACCCTATTTGTTTCTATGCTTTTACTTTTGGTCTTGTATGAAAGTACTTTTGTAAGTTTGGGATTTTTGGATTATGGAGCAATATTCAAACACTGGAGTGTAAACAATATCACATAAACAACATAAATTGTTAAATTAATAAATACAATTTAAACCACGTTAGGTAGTAGTATTTTTCTGATACTGATTACAATTTACTATTGCATGCTACAACATGTTTACTTATAATTGGAAAGACAGTTTTGGCAACCATTGCAAAATTGCAAAAAGTTAAAAAATTTGTTGTAATTTTCATGTAATATTTTTCATCATTTGCCTCTGTAACCAGCGTTAGTCTTTAAGACCTTGATCATGTGAGGGTTTGTATATGTTTATATCTATTTCTCACCGATGGAATCAAATAATGAAGTTAAAATAGTTGCTGCAATTTTTTAAAACACAGTTGCATGTTATCAGTGTCTTGTACTGTGAGTTTGAGTCTTACCTGTATGAGGCGTCCCTGTTCCGTCTGTAATGTGTTCAGGTCTTGCCCCAGGCTGCCCTGTCCCCTCCGTAAGGACTCATAGTCCATTTTCAGCTGCCCCGCGTGGGCCGACAGTTTGGCCACCTCCTCAGCCAGACTGACGAGAAGAGCCCGGTCCTGACCTTTCACTGACTTCAGGTCAGAGTCGTGGTCGGTGAGCGAGTGTAGCAGCGAAGTCTGCACTCCCTCCAGACGCAAAAAGTTACTGTTGTAGTCGGGGCAGTTGGGGTCTATGAAGATGTTGATACGAGAGCCGTCGCCTCTCTCCACGGTGACCAGGGCATTTGCTTCATCCTGATTAGTGGAGATGTGGGGCAGGCCGTCGGACATGGGTGGGGCCTGGTAGTGATTCATGAAAAGGATAGTGCCGGTTACGGTGACAGCGAGCAATACAGCCACAAAAAGCAGGATGGTGCAGAGCAGGTAGCTGCAGCTCATCCTCTGTGGAAGGAAAAAGAGAGGGAGGAGATAATATGGAAAGAGAGAAAAAGTATCAGTTAGTATCGCAGTTGCTAGAAAACCCAGAATTACAGCTTTATAAGAAGAAAAATGGTTTTCATCCATCATGAGGGATCTTTTTTTTGAATGCCAGATGCTCTTTACTCAGAGATATAACCATATTCCCATCTGTCGAAATGTAGTTGTGAATGATTTATGATGGAACATAATGTAGATTCTTTCAACTGCCAGTCTTCTAGGAAAGCAAAATAACTTTTTCAATCAAAACACTGTAAGTTTTGGTGCAGTAAAGGGCCGATGGAAGCTTGAGACACTTTTTGAAAACTCATGGTCAAGGCACCAATGTTCAGATTTTCAGTTTCTGGTATTATAGAAGAGCATTAAAAACCTGAAACAGTTTGATCCTGCAAAAGAAAGTAAAAGCTAAAGGTTGTATATAAATGAACAGAAATATAACCCTCTTATAGGAAAAAGGCTTCCCTACCACTAGTGCAATCATTAAAAAAAGTCTCCAATGACAGGACTGGAAATAGCTGTATGAAAGCCCTTTACGATCAGGCTCCAGTTTTCCACTCAGGTCAAGAGATTCTGCAATGGGAAAAAGAGAGCAATATGGCCCACCTATGCATGATTAACAATACTAAGCTCCCCCATATCTTCCTCTAAATGAATCAGCAACCAATCCTTCACTGATATTTTTTTATCTGCACTGAAGGACGTTTTCTCTGTGAGAATATGTGGGCAGGTGTGTTTGTATGTGAGAAATGTGTGTGAGTGTGGGCTCATTAATATGTAAATTGGCTGTACGAGCACAGTGAAGAACTCTAATAGACAGCTAATGGTCTGCTTTACGAGGGAGGTTTACGATTTCTTTAATGTGAAGGAAATCAATTGTGTTGTCCAGGAAATAGTCCCATCCTCAGTGTTTACCCACAGCCCTTAGGTAGGAGTGATAAAATAAAGCTGTAACTTCTTGACAACTTGTCCTGAAAGGGGATGAAATGTGGTATCTATGGATGACTAGTCAGCATTGGCAACACTGAGTAAGACCAAATTATGGTCCCAATCATAAACCCACATAGAGTTGGCCTCTTTGCACTAAAAGGGGTACGATTTGCAGGGCTCTCTGTGGTCCAATCATGAGCCCAAGGAAATGCACATGAAAGGACTTCATGAGGAGCCTGAGGTTAGTTTTCTCACTCGGGTCCCATTTGTACCCCCCGGCATCATTAAGAGTCCGCATGGGTGAACACATATGGGGCCTGCAGCCAATGAGTTAAATGCTTACTAGGCCTGTTGAGTCCATATTGTATGTCTACACAGCCTTGCTTCACAAACATAAGTTATAATAGCTGTGACTAATAAGCAAACATGGACTTTGTGGATAGGAAAATGCACAAAGGTAGATCATTTCATTTAAAAAGCTTAATATAGGTGAACCGTTATATTTGTTTTCCATTTACCGCAGGTTTCTGAGGATGCTTTTTATGACAGTTAGCATACGTGAGGGATCCTGTTTGACATTAAGTGAAAATATATTTTTCTATGATTTTTTTGGTGTCTGAGTTTTTTCACCATAGCCTATACAGTAAGGGCCAGATCCACATAAGGTGATTTTGTGGGCGCTAAACCTGTGCAAAGGGTGAAATGTGTGCAAACTGCCCGCAAACAGCACTGCCAAGCAGACAACGTCCTGGGTGCGCCTTTCTCATTTGCATCCATGTAAATTAGAGAATATTTAAAATTGCCCCCTTCTTATGCAAAGAAGCCTCGTTGCAAATACCATCTTATCTTAAGACCAGCACTAATTGCCATAGACAGTTTTCGGTTTTGCTATTTAACACCATTAGACCTGCGTATTAAATCCATGCAAATGTCTCCTCCACTCTATTTTTTCTCACTCAGCTTATTCAAATAAACCCAAAAGGATGCCACATTGCAATAGGCTAGTGATAAATGTGGCGTGGTATTTTTAAGAGATATCACACGCAAACTTTCCACTCTTTATGACTTTAAAATCAATTATTTGTTAAAGTCTGTTGCAAAACTGGAGCAAAGTTCACAGAGTGTGCAATCATTTCTTAGTGGATCTCGCCCTCTGTGTTTTATTTATATAACTTCTTATTAAATACATGCATTGCTTTTTTTTTTGTGGAAGCCAACTTTACTGTGGATACTGATTTTTGAACACTGCTGGAATGTTCAGAAGCACTGACTGCATCTGCCCTTAGGCTCTATTTGTCCTTAAGGGCCAGAAGCCACACAAACGCACATAAAACAGACATTATAATTCATGCAGACAAAAGATACACAACATTTACAAATGCCTCTGAAATGTGAGGCTTATGCACATGCATGCACACACACAGAATGTGCACAGTTCGTTTTGCAAAAAACTTGCAACAGATATCAACAGGCAAGCAGATGCACATATTGCACATGAAAAAAAAAAAGTTAGAACCTTCACACTTCCTGATGTTTTTCTCACCCAAACACAGCATCACAAAAAAGAGCTTCAGGGAAGTATTGCCACACAGAACATTTTTTGTCTTCTTGCTTTTATTCAACATGTAGACCCTGACTGCACTAAGAAGTGTCTCTATGCATGTCAAACAGTTATTGTGTGTCTTTCCCTCCCTTTGTGTTTTTCTGTTTGCAGAAGTGCAGGTCTAGCTGAGTGATTGTTACTGTGTGACTGGGCTTGGGTGTGTGTGCGTGCATGTGCGTGTGTGTGGGTGTGTGTGTTAGAGCGTCTGTGCAGCACATAATGTGTATAATGGCCTCACACTGCAGAATGGCTGCGTAGTAACATTAGAACAGTTTCACTGCGCTACATAGCCAGCGGGCCAAGACATGAGACGAGGCCATCATGGGCCCAGCACTAAATATTCATTGCTAGCATACTGATTGTTAACTTAACGTGGAGGAGATATACGATGGCCCAGGTTATGCTGACAGTGTGACACAAGAAGAGCTGACAGACATTTGCACACTGAAACATTCACTTACAGGAGCAAGCAGGTTTGTAATGAAACTTTCTGCAAATATAACGTCGCAGGCACATAATGATGTCCCAGGATGTTGACCTTTAAAACCTCAAGCTGTTAAGTTTTTTTTTCTGATTAATGCCAACCATACAGCAAGTGACATTTCACTGTTGCAGGCAACTTTCCAATGGTGTTTTGCTGGCAATGCTCTTGTCATCCCTTTTGTTTTTGTGTAGGGTGGTCATAAAACTCAAATCAGTCTTAAGTCAGTGTTTTTCTCATCTTGACATTTCCCAAAAATAAGTGGCTCACTAAAACAGCGAAGTTCAACAACATGAACATTATCAATTTGAATGTTCTGCAAGCCCTTTAAAGCATCGAATAGAAGGTAGCTTAGTGGGCCAATAGTTCACAGAGAGGGTACACCCAGGAGGCGAAAGCCCCAGCATACACAAGGGCTGCTACCACTGTGTTGTTATGTGGTGTGATGATAGGACAATAGCCCGATTCCAGTTACTGTAGCCTCCATGAACCAGATAAAGTTTGAATTAATAGGGAGGTTTAAAATGCCTTCTGGCCTGTTATTCTAACCAAGCTAACGATATGGCCTCAATCGCTGCAGGTTATTCCAAAACAAATGCACACACTGCTGTCACCCTCTCATAACTGTGAACTGTATAAACAGGATGACAACAAAACAGCACCCAGAAAGGGAAACCAAAAGAATTTGAACACCCACTATTGACCGGCTGCTGTAGGTTATATAAAGCCTGTTTCCTACATGTTAACAGTTGGGAAGTGGGTTAAACTGAAATATCAAAATGTGTGAGACATTTCGTATTAAACTTACATTAAGTGTGGTTAGGTGAGCGAAAGAGGCTCAGGCTGCCCTAAAGTGAGAGAGACTGGCATGAAGGAGGAAAAACTCAGCATTACAGTGAAAAGCAACGGTTTCTCTGCTGCAGTTTTTTTCTCCAACGGTCATGAAAATCAAAGACAAGAGCAACCTTCTTCATGTCCCTAGTGAATAACCCATCCCTCTAATGCACTGAGAATGAGCTGCGAGCAACCTCTTAACACAGTTTTTTTTCTCCATTTTTAAATGAGTCTCTCAATCTCGCAGCAGGAGCCCAGTCTGTAATTAGTGGCCGACTTTTACATCCTCTCCTGTCTCTACTCACGCCAAACCATGGGCTTCAAGAGGACGACCAGGGAATTCTGATTGATAGATAGAAAAGGAGATGCTCAGAGAGAGAATTTTTTCTCTATGAATATGATGTTGTCCTCCCACACAGACACATTGGCAGTTCCTGGACGGAAGGCTTTGTCTGCTCATTAGATAAGCAGTAAACCAGCAGGAGTCTTGCAAGCCTATTTCCACTCAAACTTCATTGTTTCCTTCTCAAACACCAATATGTATAGACTTACGTATGTACGTATATGCCGATGATACTGATGTCTACATAGGAAGACTTTAATTTGAATGCAGCCCCTTGAATAGACAACATTTTCATTCTCTCTTCAACTACCTAATTCTCTTTCAGCTTGCATAACATTCTCTCTCTGTCAAGTTCATAGCTTGATCCCAAAATTCTGCCACGCAATCACGCTTCCTTTTCATCACGAGTCATGAACACTCAGCTCAGTTCAACGAACCCGCAGGGGTCTAATCCCGTCTAGTTCTCATGCATTCGGGTGCTCGAGCTGAGGTTGTGCCATTGCTGCTGCTTGTGGCAAAATGTAATGTGTAATATGCAATAATCTTCTGCACTGCCATCGCCAAAGCAGTGAGAAAGCGGATTGGGATGAAAATCGTCAGCAAAGAAATCTAATCCCCTCCGCAGGTGAGAAATCACCGTTCATGCCTTTTCTTTTTTGACTGGAAGGGAGGTTGTTGAGAGGACATAGTGCATCTAAATGAAGCATAAAAGGGATTCGATTTACAGGACACTGCTTTTTGGCAGTTCCATTAATGCATTTATCCACTTTTATCCTGATTAACATTTGCTGAAACACTAACTAACCCGCAATAAACAGACAGGTTTTCCAGGAAAAAACACATTCTCATTTAAAGCTAGTCAGTTGATCTGTTCGATGAAGGAAAGGACATCAGCAAAAGATGATAAACAGAAGTCATACAAAGCCATACTTTTTTCTGGTTAACAAAAATGTGAATAATCCAAAGGAGAAAATACTTGTTATTTGCAGACCTCTTTATGAATTACGGATTAGAAATGCAATTTCAGAAAACTCAAATAATCTATAACATTCCTAAAATTGTTCAAGTTGATGACGCAATTTCTAAGACTGTTCAAATGTATAAACTGTGAAACAAAAGCACAAGTGTGTATATGCATGCATCGTTTCCTATGTGTGTGTTTGATACATTGTGGTGACAGGGCCTTACCTTGGCCGGGGTCTCCCTGGCAGTTTCTGAGTCTGACCAGCGATGTTTGAGCTGGGAGGAGCTGGGCACACACTCACAGAACGTCTGCATGGGACAAACAGACAGGGCCACCAGTGTTGGCGTTTGTTCAAGTCACATGTGCAATCAAGCATGCAAGCACATGGGCACAAACACACACTAGTATGCATGCATGCGCAAATGTGCACAGGGACACAAAAGGGTTTTGGTTGTTTGTTTAGATAAGTGAAAAATCAAAGAACTGGGTGCAGCATATTTTCACAGCCAAACCCTCGAATGGCATAACATTTCATCACATTGTTAGGAGCTGAATGGTACTGGTGCCGATAAACCACAACCACCTACACACGGAAGTCGTTTATGACATAGACAGATCTGAACGGGCATGTGTGCATCACAAAGACATCGCTGAATTCAATAGTTTTTGACAGACTCAATGTGTCTACTCAGAGATGTCTTTGTAAGATCCCCAGTACACAGAGTCCTCATACTCCCAATGAAAACAATGAAAAAGAGCATGTCTTTCAATGTGAATTGGTACAGCATGTGCTTAAAGGCAAGCATTCACATATGCAGGTGGGTGTGGGTGCTAGCATTATTTCTATACATAATGTGCTCCAGTATATATATATGTGCAGCTTTGAGCTCCAATGTGAATTTGTCTGGGAGTCGCTCTACAGTAGCTGCAGCTGCTCGGATAAAAGCAGAGTAATTATGAGAGTGGGGGCTTTCTAACAGCTCCAGGAGAGCACGACCTTAAACACTGCTGCTCCCACTGCGGAATTGCTCAATTAGCCTGAGACAATAATACCAGTGCTAAAGCACACACGTGGGCATATAAGCACACACAAATGATGCATTTGAATTGTCTTCTCCATCGTGTCAAAACGTCTTACTATAGTGTGTGAATGTACATGACAGAATCAAAGCATTCAGCCCTCCCTCCCTCCCTCTCCCACTCTCAAGTTGTCAGGTAAAGCTACCTGTTTTAATACCCACCAGCGTCATTTCTGAATACTGTCCTGCTTTGGTTTGGATTTGGTGAGTTGTCAGGGGACAAGGTAGGAAAAGAACAAAAGTCTGCTCGTGAATTGTACGTTCAACTTGTAACATACCTTAGTTACAAAACAGTAGTTTACTACTGGCACAAGTTTGTGTAAAAACCTGAAATCCAATACTGACTGAGTAGTTTTGGTGCCTGATCATAACCACAATGGTTATTTGGCAGATTAACCACATTAACAATTGTTGTTTTTTAATTATGTGTAGAGTACATGTTTGTTGAAAGCATTTTTTTTAAAAGGTAAATAAATGCACAACAACATTTCAACGCACTGTGTCTTCCTCAGAGACAAACAAGCAGAGTTTGCCTCCACCTAAATAAATTTACCTTTTTTCTTCTTGCTAATTTCATTGCTAGCCTACTAGCCTACATCATGGGAAGTCTTACCTAATATTGCAAATTAACTATTGCTTACTTCATTGTTTTATTTAAAAGTCTAACCTGACATTGTATATTCACTTGGCTATATTGATGAACATCCAAACAAGCCCACTTCTTTGAGGACAAACATTAGTCAGCATCTATCTGATAACATTTTTATCTAAATTCACTATTCACTTTCTTTTTACCTCTGTTTTCATGTAAAACCATGCTTGAGAAGTTCATCGGTACAGAGTTTTTTAAATGTTTAAAAGCCCCTAACAGCAGTCGAGTTCAGTGATAATTCCCTCTGATTTGAGCAACCTGAATCCTTTTCATTCAATTTTAATATCAAAAGTATGTGGTAAGTGTACTAATTCTGCAAACACACTCTGTGTAACTGTGTGTACGTCCATGCAACTTGTAGCAGTGCTTGTCTTTGTGTCAGTTGTTAGAGAACTGCTGCGTATGCAACTCACACACTCATTGTTATGATGGCTGACCAATAGTTCACCCTTTTGCTCTAAGCATTCTCTCTCAATGTGTAGAGAGCGAGAGCGGAGGAATAAAGAAGGTAGCAAGAGAAAAAGTATGGAGGATGGCGGTGGAGGGAGATCAGAGAGAGGTGTGCTGAATTCTAATGAGCAGCCTTAGGGTCAGCGATAGAAATCTATGTCTGTTCTGCCTAAAACATTGCAGCTGTCTGTGCTGGCAGTACACAGAGGAGCTACAGAGCTACCATTACTAAATAAACACAGAGTCCACAGTGAAGCAGCTAAACAAACTGACAACTAAAAGTAAATTGGTGCAACTTTGTATGCAAAAAAAAACAACCTTTTTTTTTTAACAGGGTCACAGGTGCATTTGTGCACTAACAAAGACAAGCCAAGAGATTCAACAAAAAGGAAAAGCACACTGACCCATGAACACACACACAGAACACAGGTTGTGTGTAACAAACAGCTGCAGCCCACTTAGATCCCTGACACAGTCCTCCCATTACCCTGAACAGCACGTATCAGAGCTTTAGTTTTTTTCATCCCCCTGCCTGCTAATGCTCACATTGGGGTTCTTTACTGCCTCAACACACAAACATGCACACACGCAGCCATGCTGACATGCCAGTATCTGTGGGGCTTCTTGTTGGCAGTGATCCTGGTGCGGGAATGACTGCTTGGCAGTGTTTGTCTACTCATAATCTGACTCCACAAGCTCCACCAGCGGAGAGGATTTACACTTAATAGAATATTTGGGCTTTTTTATTGGTTGGACCTTACACACTGAATCCTATCTGATGAGGCACGTCTTAGAAGACAGGAAGGGCTCAGACTCATCCTGGGTGTGAGGGAGTGTGTACGCGCCTTCATTTTTAACAAGTGTATCCCTGTGTTTGCATGAGCCGAGACAGTGCATGCAAGAATCCCAGCAGCACTATCTAAGAACTTGCTGTTTGTTTGGAAATGTGTTGTTTTTGAAATATATTCGCTTTCCTTTTTGAAAAACCTTTACTGTTTGTGTGTGACAGGGACTTTAGCAAGGTGTGTTTAAACCTTCTGCTCTCTAAGCCGATGGAGTGGAAGAGGCTTTGCATATATTCACTTGTGGGCTTACTGATCATTTAACAGGACTTGCAGACGGCTAAATGAGAGGAACTTGACTGGAAGAAAGACAAAAAAAAGAGAGCAGAAAAAGAAGGAGCAGGGACCTGAGAAAAGAGCTCAAGAATCTTCTGTCATAGTTGCTTAGGTCTGGGAAATAGCACAATTTGTCAGTGTTGCACATGAGTTTATCTTGTTGAGTTTGCCACATCTAAGAATTGCTCTGCTTTCTTAAACAGTCAGGGAAGAGTTGGATTAACTGTGAATGAATGAATAAATTGATAAATGAACAGCTCTGTGATATAACAAATAATGAAGATTCCTGGCTGCAAATACAAAAAGAAATAACACACGACAATGCAGACATGATGTGACAATATGATTACATCATTTTCTGATCCAGGAGAAAATGGCTGTTGTTCCTGAAAGACATCCAGCACATGCATGTCCTTCAGAACAAACTCATACACTTACACCAATTAAGGATTTTAAATTATTGCCAACCTTAAGTTTGCGCTCCAACAGCTTCTTAAAGTTGTTAAAAAGCTATTAGAGTTAGTGTCACTGATTTCACAATTCAAACCATAAAGTCTTAAAATCTCTTACACATTATACATGTACCAACTATCATATAATGACCTAAACTAATGATGCGTTCTCAATTAAATGCAATGAACGCTCCATGCAAGCCAAGTCAAATGATCAGCCGCTTCACTCGAGGGGGCACAGAAGGAGTAACGGCTATTGACTGAACAGTATCCAATAAAGAAGTAATAATTAGATCTTGGTTATGGCTATTTAGCAGGTGATAGTTAATCTGGAATGGTTCAATGAGAAACGGGTCTGCTAATTCACATATAATTAGATTGACCAAAAAATGTATTAGACCCTGGATCATAACCATGACGCTCGTGGGTTAAGTTTAGAGATGTTCCTATTGAGTCATTTCCCTGTCGATGAAAAAGACATTTAAAGTCAGACTAGTCAACTAGTCTAAAGTGACAAAACACTTGTCGTAACTGAGCACAATTTAATTAACACGGCTAAACACTCTCCAAAGCCATGTTGTTGTGTAGTCTATTTAGTTGCTGTTGGACCAATTCATCAATTGTGTGGACGAATGGTGACCTGCGTTACTTTGCAGGTAAACGATGCCAAATGTATTTTCCAAGTTTGGCTAACTTTAGCAGTGCTAGTGTTAGCACCCCTGCAGGTAAAGGTCCACATGACTGTACTGAATGTGATAGTACATTGCTCTGGTCGAGTGGTTAAATGCCACTTTACCAGGGACGAGAGGCCATCCGTCCACTGTGCTGGTTTACATCCAGGTATTAGAGAGGGGAGAGCAAACCCAATCATTGGAGCTACAGCCCCGGCTAGTGGTGGTTGGCTGCGTTACAGCTTTGACACAACATTTACTTGGTACTGTGGGCCTACATTAACTGGATATATTAATAATTTCTTAAACAGACAATATATTCTAGTGCCGATTTGAGAAAGTGATGACATGTAATTGTTTTGTCTACTAATTGAGTACATCTGTAGTCAAGTTACTTGTGAATATTTACAATTCAGTCCTCAGCCTTTGGTTCTTGTCGTGTTCCTTCAGTCGTTTATTACTCAAGAGTTTGTGTACCTAAATGTTACGTTTCTGTTAGAACTATAAAGCATAGATTATGTAATCAAAACAACATTAGAGTTTTAAAGCTACATGTCTATTGGGTTGGATGACATTGGTGGAATATTGCTTTTAACACTAATGGATGTTGCTTTTTAACACTGGCTATACACTTTTTATGTCTCCATTCCTCACTGTTATTATATCTGCTGTTTACCATAATATAATGTAACTCTAAAAGAAGCAACCAGCTGCAAAGCCTTTTTGATTTTACTCTTATGGTTAACGTGTTGTGTCAACTTAGTTTTAAAAGTTCACTCAAAGTGCTGACTCAAGTTTGTCAAAAGTAATATCACTGCTAAGATCTACTCATATACTTACTGGTGAGTCAAAAATGTTGACATGACGAGAGAATGCAGAATTCAAA